TGCTATCTCTCCTACAGAACGTGTCCTTTTTATGTGTCCATTCAAACGCAGGTATGTGAGTTTTGTACACCAGTTTGTTTATGTTTAATGTTTCACATTGTTTACTACCACTATACGATCATTGATGTGTTGTTGGAGATTTATATACCGCGTGAGGATCTTTTGAGAAACGTGTCCTTTTTATGTGTCCATTCAAACGCAGGTATGTGAGTTTTGTACACCAGTTTGTTTATGTTTAATGTTTCACATTGTTTACTACCACTATACGATCATTGATGTGTTGTTGGAGATTTATATACCGCGTGAGGATCTTTTGAGAAACGTGTCCTTTTTATGTGTCCATTCAAACGCAGAAACGCAGTGAAATAAACCAAAGTATTCACCAGCTCTGAGTGGTCTGTTGCCGAGGGGACACTACACCGGGGGTTACACATGCATATCAAATATTAGTCATGTAAGCTCATCTTGCTAAGAGCACTTTGACTAGTGTGTAAAAAAGTCCAAGGCGTATATTCTGCGTGCCAAGCGCATTAGACATGGCTGCAGATTCTGTAAACGTTTGGGCGGGATTGCTTAAAAAGTGCAATGTAAAAAAAAATACATTATTTTCCCTTGTCAATTGGCAACTAAAGTCCAGTTAATCTCAGTAAATCCTGTTCTAGCTATCGGGAAGCATGTATAAACAGATCTATGACAAACAACCTAGATATTTCTAGGAAATTCTATTTTAGATCACAAATGCTCTTTCCCTCAAAAGTCAAGGGCTAGACAGCTCCCCCGTCTCCACACACTAACCCAAGATATTGATATTATTTGTCCCATTGTTCCATCATCTGTCTCAAACGATGCTAGATGGTGATGTTTCAGCATAAACACTGCCTCCTGTTAGAATGTACTGTACTGTAAAAATTGTTGTTATATTCAAATACACCCATGGCATTTTAGAATTCAAACTATTCAAACAGATGTCAGAGAACATTCAGCAGCCAGCAATGCCAGCCTACAGGGGGAATGTTTTAATTAATCTGTACGGACTCTAGATGATTCATCGTGTGAACATGAAGTATGCCGACAGCCAAACACTCCGTGAGACTGTTTTATCAGGAGCTAAATAATTACTCATACTTTGTATCATATCAAACCCCATTCTTCATACAATGTTTAAGGTGACCGCCATAATATCTGCTGAAACACTTTACCATTGTTTTTGTTTCATAACTCCTGTTGCAAATTCCAAAAACTGCAACTTTTTCTGTTCGGTTTGTAGAATAATGGCCAAAGCTATAACTGCATTTCCTTTTGAAAGCCTGGTTTGCATGGTGCTCCAAGAATGAATTGCAATCTCCTGACTTTTTCATTGAGCACCATAAAATCTTTAGGGCAATTCTCTCGGCCTTCCATCCAGTATTTTGGAGGTATTTCAGACAGGACCAAGGTGATGAAACGACCATCCACATACTAATTATCCTCAGTGCCATCACATTTAGCCTTGATCAACTCTGGCTTTTAGCTGCTTGTTGAGCTGTTAACGTTATACTCATGTTATGTTTCTGTTTGTAGATAATAGCTGCAGCTAAGTACTAAGTAAACCAACGACTTGACTCACAATTTTGATTTAAAAATGGTTGAATTGCTTCAGCTAAGAGAAAAGTATCCCGTTCCACTGTGTGCCATCGGCTGGAACTGCGGTGAGAGCAACTTATCTTAAGTGACGGCAGCACTTATCGAGGTTTCCTGTAACTGTCCAAGTCTGTTCACATTTTTCTTTTCATACCATGTTCTCATTCGTGTTTACTTCCTGTCTGTCTTCTTCTGTTCTTTTCCCTGACGTCCAGCGCTCTGTCTTTTAACCTGTTGACTTCTCTTGTGCTCATTTTCTTTTCTTATCTGGGGACAGTTTAGTTCAGTCTAGTTTTATCATGAATCCAAAGTTTTGCGCTCTCCACAAATATAAAAATGAATGATCAAAAATGATTCCATGGTGTTTCTAATGAAAACAAATCATGTTTGTTGTCCAAAGCTGACATTAAATTAACCATACTTCTTTCTGCTGATTGATATGACTGCACATAGTGCTTAGCAACAGTCTGGTCTCCTTAGCAGATGTCTGTTTATTATGAATAATTGACCTCTGGAATGTCCAAATTGGATTCTGGCATTCAATTAAGCCGTGTAACAAATGAACATAACAGTATTAATAATTAATAACATGACAGTATTGGGTTTTGAATCAATAATTGCATTCACTGGGTGACATGCAACCTGCTAAAGCAGTACATGGCTCTCTAAGATCATAATGGCATACTGGCTTTCTACTGCTGTAGCCCCGTTAAGCATAATTGTACTCCCATTATCACCCAGAATGGTGGGTTACTCGGCAGTGGAACAATATGCATGCGTATATACGTATGTTAGAATGCAATAACTTCTCATGCATTTACAATCAATTGCCACGAATAAGATCCGGACAACCACCTTGTTAACGTTCAGTGAAATAATATGACTTCTAGACCAGATTTGCTGAGGAGGCTTCAAATGATGCATCTGAATATAACCATGTAATTTAAATAAATTGCAACATTGCTGCTGACCATACTTTCAGTCAATGTTGTTCTCAAAGCAAATGTGATCTCTGGCTAGTTATGATGATTTTCTTAACATTGGTTTGTTGAAATACATGGAAATGTCCCTTGACACTGTTGCTTTGTGTTTATTACAGCAGGCTCTCCTTCAGACCGCAACACAATGAAATGCAGACTGTGATTTTCTGCATGTTCTTTCTCTGCTTTTATCTGTGTGTACTGAAGGAGAAAGCCGTGACACCAGAGGTCCTTTCCGACCAGAAGCTCTTGGCCCCCGGCTATGTGGTCAACATCTCCTGAAAGAATTTAAAACGCTCAGGTTAAGACGAGGGCAGATCAACTGAGAAGAGGTTGGAATGGAGCCTTACATTTATTTCTGAAAGAAAAATGTTCTTCATTGATTGAGAGCTTCTGAAAATACCTTGCTGAATATAAAGAGAAACCACATTTTATTATTAACCAAAGGCAAAACACAGCAGTTTCAAGTTTAGCTTTACTACTATTGCACTGCTGTTTTCTTTATTAACAATCTGATCATGAAGCCAGTCGCTTTGTGTAAGATGACAAACATGTTTTTAAAGAGAATTTCTTGAGATGTTGTGTAATTATTAGTAGGCTAAAGCTGAAGATACACAGGAAGGGGGACACTCTGCAGCACAGAGCAGTGGGCCTGTGCAGGAAGGACTCAGCACATGTGGAGCCCTTTCTACCAGATTAGCAACTATCCCAGTGAATTTAATTCTAATCTGAAAGTATTTTCCCTGTCACAACCAAATAAACCAACAACCAGCAAAAGCAATGTATTGGTAAGGTTTTTCGTGCCTGCAGCACTTCTTTTTCTCCGGTCGGGTCGTGGAAGACCGGAAGCGGTGTGGTTCATAAAAACATGTTCTTACTCAATATCAAACCACGATTATTGCTTCTATTTTAAATCGTATAATTTCTGACTTTTGTTGCCGTCTGTGAGGAAAATAAATGGGGCTGAGAGCCTCAGGATACTGAAATCTGTATTTTTTAAAAATCTTTTTTTCTTCCAATTTGTTATTCTTTTCAAAATAACACACTGTTATTTACTCACCAATAACATACAAGTAACCTTGCTTTTATTTATTGGTTTGATTCCATAATCTCTGGCTTTTTTGGCATCCGTCAGGAACTGAATTTCAAAATAAAAATAACCGGAAACAGACGTAGGCCTCTAGGAGTTTAGGATGGCCGAAGACACTACACTACCCATAATCCCCAGCTATCGTTTAGGACTACAGTCCCCATGATTAATCTTCAAGCTCTGGGATTGGATGTGGAGTGGCAGTGCGCCAAGGTTACGCCGAGCGTCAAACAGCTTGTTAGAAATGGAAACCGAAACCACGCCAGACTATACCAAAC